GGTTATATATATAGAAGATTATTGGCATTTTTTGAAAAAAAATTCAAAATGATGGCATTTCTGAAATTGTTTCAAAATGATGGTATTTTTGAAAAGTGGCATCTCAAAAATGATATTTCTCAAAAAAATCTCAATATTTAATCTTAGTGTCATGCAAATTTAGTTTTGTAAGATAAAATAAATTTATCTATATTCGAGATATATATCATTTGATCTTTGTTTTTTTTTAATTTCTCCCGTGTATTAAACAAAATCATGAATTTTTGTTTTTGAATATTCTAAACCCACGTTTGATATGTCTCAAGAAATTCTAGTAGTTGTTGGAAAAACCAATTTTCATATATCCTCTATATTCTTTAAATAAAATCATACATATTAATTATCATATTCGTTATTTTCATATTCGTTTAATGATTATATAATTTATATATGATATAAATTTGGCGGGTAATTGAGCTAAGATATAGTTGGGTTCATCTAATTATTTGTATAATGATGTGTCATTAAAAATTGTTAAAAACCTTCATTAAGATTTTTTTAAAATCATCTTTGGATGACACCTAAGATTTTTTCACTTAGTGTCTCCTCTATTAATATATAGAGGATATTAAGGTTTTCTATTATATAAGATTAATATTTATATGGAACCTATTGTTGGAAAACCCTAGACATGGTATGCCTTATTTGACACGTTGGAACGATATTGGTTTTCGGCTTTACTTCTCTTAACAGTTGCTATAAACTAGTTTTTTTCTTGCATCTCATATGTGGAACCTTTAGTCCTTTAGGCTTGGTTAGAGATCCTAGCGAGGAAGCTTGACTTAGAGATCTGGCTGTTTCATCAGTTGGAGATGTTTCTTTTTGAGTGGCGGGTAACACCATCTTCCTTTATTGATGAGTTTTGATAAAGGAGGTAAAGGACGCCATGTCTGAAATCACAATGGAATCAAAAAATCGCTTCACATATCAGAGAACGTCTCATGCTTCTTAAGTAATCGTATGAAAATTTTTCTTTCTCTACTCTAAACATTCTCTCTCTTTCATAAGGAATGTTTGAATTCATAGCACGATTTGGTCTCTTCGAGATATCAGATTCAATGTGAGAACTGATTTCTTCCTTGTTCACAGCAGGTTTCAAAAGCAGAATGAGGTTCTCGTCTACATAGTAAGCGGAGACTAGAAGGTGATGATAACAACACCCATGAACCCTTTATTCGTGCTATAATGAGATTAATTAAAGAGCTAAAAGAATTCAATAGATAGCTCATATACGTTTAATTAAAATGTAAAAAAAAAATGAAAGAACTTTAGATGTGAGAGTTTTTAAAAACAAAAACAAATATTAAAGTCTAAATTTTTTTTCTAACAGCAAAAAAATGTTTTTAAATCATTTCTTAATTTTCTCACAACTTTTTTTTTGTTCAGGTTACGC